TAAGGGCATTAAATATTTCCAAGCTTTTCCATGTTACCAGCTTCTACTGTAATCTTATGAGTGCGAATGCAGCTCTGCGGCTTCATCCACCCTCCACCCTTGGCTGTGATTTGACCCGAAGCTGAATGTCACGCATCATAAAGCAGACCTGGATGAAGGAGCAGGGGGTCTGTGTGAAAGTGTGTATAAAACATGGCTGTGTGCACTTTAAGCTAGGGAACATTTTACAAGATTTTAATGCACCACATATTGCACATTACCTGCAGAGTCCTAAGGACCTGCACAGACTTTTAACAGGGATACCACTCACGGATGGCACTATATTGTCTTATACATATGCATTTGTTCAAAACTTGTCATGTTTTGTTAAAATCGCAGTCTTGAGTCTTTAAGAACAGTTTTCCAACCAGGATCAGCCTGTATTTAGCTCTATATCTAGGTGCATTTTTCTAATGCGCATTTTGAAGTATCGCATCAGAAAGGCATGATGGACGCGACAAGATAAAAAAAAAAAAAAAACTGCAAAAAAGTTTTTACGCTTACCTTTTGCAAAAAAGGTTCAGTGATAAAAACTGGAGAGGGAAGCACTTTTCCAATCGACTTCACGTTAGTGATCAGCTGTTTCTGATGTCACCGTCTTACCAGATGTTCCTATTATGCGTGTAGACATGGCTGGAAGTAATGTCCCCATTACCAGCTACAAGTTAACGTAAGAACAACTTGTCTAATAACCGCACAGAGTCATTAAAAGTTTCTGTCATTACTGATCTATGGTCAGTGCTACATTACTGCTTCTACTTCCTGTTTATTGCTGCCTTGAGTGATGATGTAATATGGATAACGGTCTATGACGACATTGCGCTTTGTATTTCTTGGTTAATTTGCTTTAAGCTGAATAGAAACATCGTAAATTTGCATTTTCCCTATTAGAGGTTCACTTATATTTTGTATGTTAGATGAACGGAAACATGGCTTCTTTTCCTATAAACTAGGATCATCGTCCTTTTCCCTGCTAAAGAAACACACCCCCAGAGCATGATGCAGCCACCACCATGTTCAATGGTAATGACAGTTTGATCAGAGTGAAGATGCAGTGACAGTGTTGGTTTTTCCACCACAAAGTATACATTAATCGTTAAAGCTTTTAAGGGAGAAGATTCATACCTTTGACTTAGTTTGCTTTCACACATGCTTTAAGTTTGGGCCAGGTAATGTTATGCAGATTCAGCAGCGTATTTAGTCCTCCTGTACTGTACTTCTCCTTTTACTTCTTGTTCTTCTAATTTTCTAAGGGCACACACTCAAAGTGTAAGTGATCTGTTCCAGTGCATAGTGGAACTGTGCCCAAAGTAAGTGTTTTAACTGGGTCAGCGCTTAATTCCAGGGTCTGTTTCAGGATCCTGGATTGGGTTTACAATCTACTCCAGTAACCGAACTCCAGAGGAGTGTTTTCTCCAATGAATTCTTAATCTTTGATGTCTCTACTGTGTTCTTTGCTCTTCATGTTCACTGATGCTCTCTAATAAACCTTTAAAGGGGAATTTTGTTTTTTTTTACATTATCCCCTTGATTTTACGTCATGTTTAGTTAGGTTTGTGTCATTTGGAGCCGTTCTGAAGATATTCCGTTAGGTTATATCCAAGTAATGTCTTCCTATGGGCAACAACTTGAAGACACAAACTAAACATAATTTATTCTTTATGATACGCCAGCATTCATAACATGTAGGTGAATCACCGTCCCCCAGACATCCGCGGTTATATTTTTTATATTTCTATTTTTTAAAAACAAAGCGGTGTGTGTATGACATCATTCGCTGCGTTGTCTACCATTAATTTTTCCTGTCCGCTGAACTGCTGCTAGTTTTACTCACATGCCTGGAAGATGTCTAGTGCTACTACCACAGATTATCTCTCTCTCAAAATGGAATTGAACGATTCAGATTAGCTAGCTGAATATATAAGGGGTAGAGCGTAGCTGCCTGGTGTAATGTACATTGGTTAAATAAAGTTTAGAAAAAAAAAAAAACTTGTGCGGATGACGTTCCCCTTTAAGAGCTTTACAGAAGAGCTGCATTAATACTGAGAACCAAACAATCAGGTGCGCTCTGTACCCTCAGAAGAAGACTTCTAAGGTTTGGGTTAATTGAGTATATGTAGGGGGATTAAAGTAAAGTTGGGTCGATACAAATGAACAACATGCTTTCTTAGATTTTTATGTCTATGGCACCAAAAGCAAACAAAATATTCAACAAGGTTGAACCCAACAAACCTCTGCCTTTTTTACAATATCTAATTATTGACCCCAGCTATTTCACTATAGCTGTGTTTCTTTTTTCGTTTCCTATAAATCCCACTTCAAGTTCCAATCATGTCAGCCAAGTTTCTCAGCCAGTGGGTTCTGTCCCTTCAGCCGTGCTTTTCCTCTGTCCTTGGATGTTTCCTGTATATAAACACTCCACAGCATAACTGTTCCTAACAATGCAAAGCCAAGTGGACTTTTCGTTTGAATATTTATAGGAAAAACAGTCCCGATCTGAGGCGGCTAATCCAGGACCAGCGTGTCGCCTGGTGTGTGCGTGTTTTCCTGAACCACAGCCTTTAACTCTGTGTGCTCTCTGTAGAAGAGGATGCTGGAAGGTCACTCGGTCCACAGGGAGGCAGGACCAGCTCTTGACCCCACGTTTATTGCTTGTGAGCATTGAGCCGCGCACGCCGAAGCCAGACTGACGACCCATATACAGTAAATTATGTATTTCCACATTAGCCAGCAGCCAGTGAACGGCCCTTCCTATTGGAAAGGAAGGAGCAATAAACGAGGGAAACACCTGACTGTGTCCGACGCTAACAGCTGGCCCTTTGACCTGACTGCACCGCTCTGTGCCGTACTCCGTCTCACCTTTAGTTTCCTGCACCCTACGGAGTTCAGTCAACTGTGCAGAACCCACCCAGATTCGCCTTTAAAAAAGAAAACTCATCTGGATCCCACTTGTACTTCCCATAGCTCTTTATTCTTTCAGCCTCAGATGAAGGGTAATAAATCCAATTTCATATGACACAAGTCCAGCTAATACATTCGGGTCTGGACGGTGCTGTTAGAAGTGACATTAAACCCGATGATGAAATCCGAACGCAACCAGCTGTGGTGATTTTAAATGACAAATCTTTAATGAGCCGCTGGAGTGGCCTTGGCTTCCCAACACATAAACACGGGGTCATTAATGTGTGGGTGTGTTGTACTGTTTGTTATCCAAATGCCACTGCTCATGAATGATGGACACGGAGATGTAAGGAACCAAAATCAATGACCCGTCCATAAGTGAAGCTTGTTTGTTTACACTGTCTGTCTGTGCGTGCGCGTTTATGCGTGCGTCTCCTTCCAACTCCAGCTGACCAAACAAGGCTGGTGCGAGGGTGAGGGTGAGAGGCTGGGTGGCTGTGACTGAGTGACAAATCTCAGGCTGGGCTCTGACTCATGCCTCCTCTGACAGGCACACACTTAAAACACAACTCTGAAGGATTTAAAAAAAGCCACTTCCATTTATGGAGAATTTATACATTTTTGTACTTAATTACATTTAAAAAAGTACTTTTTAGTACTTTAAAAGAAAGGAAAGGACCTACTATAATGTAAGCACTTGTTCAGCTGCTGTTAAATCCATAAATAATAACTAATTAAATGTGTAATTGGAATATTTAATCAGCTTTAATCAATGTCGTGTAACTGATAGCAATAATCATAAAAAAGAGACTATAAATGACAATAGATACAATTTCAATAAAGTTGCACAGTGAGACAGATTTTAGAACAAAATCCAGGCTGGAGCAAAAATGACCTGGAAATAAGTAAACATTTCTTAAATTAAGTGTATTTAACCTTAATTTAAGCAGGTAAATAAGATTATTTGTCAATAGAATTTGTTTATTTACTCTTAAAATAAGATGACTAGATAATATGCACTTGGAATAAGACTTTTTTTTGTCATTTTAAATGTAAATTGTCAAAGCGTCTCACTTACCTCCTCAAATGCTCATATTTTAAGTTGAAATTACTTATTGAGATTTCAATTTTTGCAATGTACAGTTTGAATACTCTCCCTGTGCATGTGTGCATTTTTTCAGGGTACTCTCACTTCCACCAATAGATAAAAAACATGTCAGGGTTAAATGATCTATTGAGATCAGCCTTACTATGGTTATGAGAGAGTGTATGTGATGGATTGTCCATCTGTAGACTGCTGCAGCATCTGTATCCTGGGTGAGAATTAGGACCTTTGCCATCACCACAGAAGCCATGTTCTATTTTTTTTTACCATCTTCTGCCCTTTAGAGCTTCATGATGAAATTTTAAACCTAACAATAAAATCAGCCCAAACAAAGAAGACAGGAAAAGCAAAAGAGGCAGTCCTTGAAACCCTCTTTGGAAAGTCAGTGTCACCATCTGGACTTCAGCATGGTGACGACTGCCAGCAATGACCTCTTCAAGCCTGAAAACCAAAACCTGTACCTGTCTGCATGGCGCCTGCAGGATGGAACAGAGATGATTAGCAAGGACTGCATGGCTGCAGAGTCCATAAACACAGTTGTCACCGTCTCACCACTTGTGCTTATGCCAGATATTAGCTGACATAGGAAAATTTAATTAGGCACGCCTTCAGATGCATCATCCAGAAGCACGTACGACGCACAGGCGCATGTAATGAGCACTGCTGCCTAGGCTGTGGTTGCCGCCCTCCCAGCCTTCTCCACCCTGAGTATTACACGAGTGCAGTTGTTTTTTCTTCTGCTCTCAGACCCAGAGTGTAATGTTTGTTTTCACTCTATTTAATTGTCTTTTACGTCATCATTCTTGGAGGGAGGAGTTATATTTATTTATTTTTTGTTTTTCTGCTTTCATGGGGTGAGAGGCTGACAGGAGCCAGTCAGCCCTAATCCACTGGTGCTAAATTCACTTTAAGCTGATCCTAATGTCTCCTAATGAGTTCTGCTCTTCTGTTTCAGACTACAACAGCAGCAATCAGAAGACGGCGTGCAAAAGACATGAGCTGTATGTTAGCTTCAGGGAGCTGGGCTGGCAGGTATCTTCATGTTTTAAACATGTTAATGAGATCTTGTTGTTGAATACGTTTTTTTGTATTTGGTAGTTTTATGTGTCGGTCTTTATTGGCTGCTTCAAAACCTCACTGACTAAATGGTTTAGCTGGATGAATGAAGGATGTTGGTGCTTTCAGATACCTACATTTTTCTTAAAACAAGTTCATTTTTCTTGAATTGAGCAGGTAAAATGGTCAGTTGACAATGAAATAAGACAATTTACAATCAAAATAGCAAAAAACATCAACTTCATTGTCTTATTTTAAGTGCTTAATATCATATTATCTCATTTTGAGTGAGAAAATACCAATTCCATTGGCCGATCATCTTATTTACCTGCTCAGATTAAGCTAAATCACACTTAAATTAAGACATCTTTAGTTGTTTTTGATAGTTTTTGTGGTGAACTCACCTTCTAACCATGAACCAATTTTAATCATAGAGAAAAAGTTGATAAACTTCTTTTATGTTTACTTTATAAAAAGGAAGAAAGGATGAATACAAACTTTAGTTATCCTTTTTTCTATGATAGTTAAAAAAATAGGATAATTATGTAGAATTTGATATTATTTCTCTCTTTGTTTTACGGATTAAGTAAGTACTTTATTTACTTTTTATCCAACTTTATTTTTCTCTGGTAGTAAAATATCAAAACCCACATTTGAAATTTAACAAACCAGTACTGAATGATGCTAAGTGATGCTAATTTTAAAACCCCAAATCTTGTTAGTTTTTTTCTGTACCTGTTATTGTGGTAATTAAAGTACAATTATGCACATGCTTACTTGGAAACAATTATAATTTTCCTGTGCTTTGATGCAGAGCCTAATATTTGGCATATATTTTGATCATGGCTTACAGATTTTATTTTTATATTTAACTTTTTGTCAAACAAAGTTTTTAAGTAATTTAAATAAACAAGTATGGGCCAATAAACATGGTTTTCCTTCTTATTTATGGCAAATAAAGTTCAGAGTGATTAAGTTAGTGCAAATACAAGTGGTGAAATGTACTAAAATTAAACATCTATATACAATTATCACAGAAAACTTACTGAGACCAAAATAAAGCAGGGAAACATGGTGCAGCTGCTTCTGCTCTTTTTAAACACCAGACCACTCTTACGAACTGATAAGAAACAGCTTCTAACAAGCCAGATAAAAACAGTGAAAGAGCCTGATACACACAGCTGAGTGGGAGCAGAGCCAAATGTCAGCCTGCAGGTGTGAGTTTACAAAGAAGCAGTTGGAGAAAAGGGCAGCCATGCATTCATCTTTACAAACATGCTGTTAACGATAGCTGTTAACACACCACTGACATCTAGAGGAATAGAGCAAGCAATTACTCACCTGAATGCTCACATTACATCAACAATATACTGCTGTTTTATTATAAACCTAACATTAAATTGTACATGACCCATCAATCTTGCTTTAGAGACAAATTCACGTCCCCATTTGACAGGGTGGAAAAGTGGGATTAAAAAAGGAAGAGCTGTAGCTAAAAACAGAGGGTAAAAAATCAGAACAGAGTGAAATAATGCTGATTTGTCCTTATAGATGTCATGAGCTCAGGTTTTTAGCTTTTTATTTTTATGTAAAAACATTTACATAAACCAAATACCTAGGAAAACTAACTTTAGAAGTTACTAGAATAGCTGCATAAACATAGATAATGAGAAAATCTTAAAAAAAGGAACATGTGCTTCAAGGAAACTGTGTTTTTATTGTGTCTCTTCAGGACTGGATTATCGCCCCTGAAGGCTACGCCGCCAACTATTGTGATGGAGAGTGTTCTTTCCCTCTGAACGGCCACATGAATGCCACCAACCACGCCATCGTGCAAACGCTGGTAGGACCACCCTACTCCACCTAATGCATATTTATATACAGTATGTGTGTGTCTACGGTTTTATGCCCTGTTGATGTAATGGCATTATTGTGCTCATAGAGGTGTATTTTCCATATAGAAATAGAGCAACTGTGTGTATCAAAGTTAGCTAATCCAATAATTATTGGATTATGTAAAAAATATCAATCATTTTGATACATTTGAAATAACTTAAAACATACAGTAGCCCCAAATTCATTCATTAAAATGAACTTTTTAGATTTTGTCTTGTAACAAGCAGCATAATACATATATATGGATTAAATTAAATATGGTAGTCCAACAGAAAGAAGTGCATAATTGTGAAAAGAGAGAAAAAGGGAGACATGGTTTTGAAATGGTTTGTAAATAATCCATGATTCTATCACCTTTACATTGATCTCCCAGTCTGTTGTGGTTTGCACAGCTTTGCACTTCAACGTTTTTTAAATTCTTCTTTGCATAACGACTCAGTCTCAGTCAAACTAAAAAATGAAAAAGAGTATATGTGATCTTAGACTTGTATCTCTTACCATAGATGTCTGATTGGACTTAGTTCTGGACTTTGGCCGAGCCAATTTAATGTAAACGTCATTGATCTAAGGCATTCTACTGTATTTGTCTCAAATCTTTGGTGCATATAATAGGTTTTCTTCCATGATGCATCCTAAAAAAGACCATTGGTGTCAACTTCTCAGAACAGCTGCATCTTAACTGGGGTTAAATAGTACAGTGAATAAAAAAAATACATATCAGATTTTCTCATTTATCATGGCTTTGTTTCACACATTTAAAAAAAAACTATGGATAATTTTCCAGTCATGTGCTAAGTTGTGTTGTAACGCTAACATTTAAAGGAGATAAATATAACTGGGCAAAGAGAAATCCTTTATATAACATGAGGGTTGAATTTCCTATGAAGATGTTTTTGATTTATTTTTTTTGTTGTCACATTTAATATTTCAGAAAATCAATAAAAAAATTAGACAAATGATCCACTCATGATTTTGTTTATTTAGGTGAAAAAGTTTTACAATGTGAGGAAGTAATTATCCCAATAACCTTATTGGTGGTTGAACCACTTTGCGGGCACCAACCAACCACCTTCAAGCTTCTCCAGCTTCGGCTGTAAAACAGATTTGAGTTTTTTCTTTGGAATAAATGACTAGTTCATGATGATGCAACAGATGTTCTTTGCAATGAAAATCTAGACTCTTTGAATGATTGTCCTACTGGATAAACTATCAGTATGTGAAATTAAGGTGTTCAAATTCAATTTAATCCGATTTCCTTTGCCTTTGAATTAGTTTTACTAAAAAAATTTAAGTGTGACTAAAAAAAAGAAAATATTTTACCACAGAACAGTATGATGTGAGGGTCCTATTGTCTTAAAGGTATAGTGGAGGATTTTCGCGAAAAAATAAATAAATAAGTAAATGTACATATACAAACCTGTAACCACTCATGAGAGAGAGCACTCTTATTAAACGCGTGCGAGAGCGTGCACAAGTCCATTTCTACTCGTGCATGCTTTTTAAAAGTTGCTGTTTGTATCCCTCATACAAGATTACTGTCCAAAAGATTTGCAAGTTTTACACTATGACAGACTCACCACCGGTAAGTGAAAATGGGGACGAGCACATAGGATGGCCCCTCATTAAAATGATTTATAACCCGGAAAAAAGAAGATCCTCCACTATACCTTTAAGTAAAAGAGACATATGTTTGTGTTTAAGGATCTGTTACAAAGGTAAAAGTGCTGAAAATAAGATTTTCCCTCATTTCCAGGTGCACCTGATGAACCCTGAGAATGTACCGAAGCCGTGCTGTGCCCCCACCAAACTCAATGCCATCTCAGTGCTCTTCTTTGATGACAACTCCAATGTCATCCTGAAAAAGTACAAAAACATGGTGGTACGCGCCTGTGGCTGCCACTGACACCAAGCACCAGGGAGGACTGGGCCAGGCTCATCTCAGCCGGACATCTTTTCTCAGATAACGGGACACATTTCAATAAAAAACTGCTTCGAAGAAAAACATCCGCCCATCTGTTGTGGGACCAGTCATACTGCTGCTTTCCTCCCCATCTCCTCTTTGATTGAAAACATGGTGGATGACGTCTGAGGAGACAGACTAAAGATCAGTTTCCTTGCTCAGCTGATATAGAACCTGTAATATCCAGATGGGAATAAACGAGGCCAGTGGTAACTTCACAGCAAATGTAAACTGATGCATCAGTCAGTGCATTCGTATTTATCCTCTTTCCTACTGTATTTTCCTCTCAAGCCATATTTACTTTCCCAAAAATATAATTTGGACTCGACCAAAGTGACCGCATTCTGTTTTAGCAGCAGACTCCTCCAAATAATGCTCTCTGAGTCAATATTTGCCAAGCTAAGGCTGAGATGCAGCTTCACATGATGCACATTGAGGCCAAACTCTTGTTTTACTACAAAAAGGAGCGAAATTCAGCCCTTTTACCCTCCTACATGCCACAAACGGACATTTGTTTTTCTACATTTGCAAAGCTCACAAACACATCTAACCCAGACAAGAGATTGTGGAAAAACATTTACAGAGACTAAAACAGCCACTTCTTCTCTTCTGTAAACCCTAGAGCGACATTATGCTCAGATTTAGCCGCAGCGTCTTCCCATCTGAGCATGTTACTGTGAGCCTTAATCAAGTATTTAAGAGAACATATTTGAACCAAAAATAATGTATCCAAACCAATCACAGTACCTTTTGTGCCTAACCGAACTTAAATATTATATACCTCTGGAAAGCTGCTGTTTACATTTGTGATCATTTTCAGACTGTTTTTGTAAATACGTGTACATTTTCAGCTTATTTATTGCACCTTTTACTGAAAAAAATACCACATTAAAGCCAGAAATAAAAAATAAAAATACAAACTGATTTTTGAAAAATTTATTATGAAATCTCATCACAACTTGCCATTTGTTTTTTTTCTTCTTCCTTTTTTTTTTTTTTTTTTTACAAAACATCTCATTCCCCATGAAAAAGACAAAATATATATACTGTCATCAGACTTTATTTTAGACCCTGTGGTTTTTAGAGAAAAAAAATGACTGCCGTAAAAAATACTGCCGGTGTTGCCCGTCTGTGTACCTGGGTTGGACAATAAAACGTTGTCCTACATCACAGCATGTTTTTCACATAAGCAGGAACAAGAACATAAACTGACACAGGCGGGTGGATGGAGTTTGCTACATGTAGTATCATTATATTCAAAAAAACTATTGAAATAATTTCTCCAGAAAAGAGGCAGATTTCTATATGTGAAAACAAATGGATTTGGTGCAACTTAAGTTTTGATTTTTAACCCCTACTCAGGTGCTTATATTTTTTTTTCAAGAAATATTGATCTGTTTTTTTTTTTATTTCAAACTGCTACCAGGGAAATCATCTATTGATTAGACCTAAAAAATACAAAACAATCAAGTTATAAAGACAAGAATTACCCTAAGCAGGCTTTTCTTATCCTCTTAACTTTATATCCTTTATCCACCTAAGCCTAACAAAAATAACTGGTGCATGACTTAAGATACCAAATGTGTATAAAAATAAAAGGCTGATAGATGAAGGTGACTGATCGCTTCATGAAAAGAATCTAGTCTTCATTCATGGGTCAGATAATTACGTGTTCTGGTCCTGTTGGTTGTTTCCCTGAGGAGTTAAGTCAGATAGGCCATCAGTAGATAAATAACCCTCAACCTCATCTGTGGGATATCAACATTTTGACTCAAGTGCTGCAACAATAATGGCTTACAAGTGAAACATACTGAAAAACAAACATGTTTTTAATGAACATGTTGGTAGAGCTGTAGTTTTAGAGGGAATCACACTTCCTCTACAGCCCCAACCAGCATTTTTACAAGATTTTAAACTTGGGAGATTTATAGAAAATACATTCTAATTTTTCTGTCTACAAAGAGAGACCCAGATGTTAAAATCCCTCTGGTGCTGGTTGAACTCCTTCTTAAAGGATAATAAAACTGTAGAGCGGGGATGATGTCCTCCTGGTCACCAGACGGGGGGAGAGTCCAGGTAAAGGAGCCGGGTCCGTTCCTACAGCTCGTCTCTCGCCTGCCTCATCACGAAGCTGTGCAGACTCTCCAGGTCCCGGCCTCCGTGATGCTCCTCACCCTGCTCCCCGGCTTTGAAGATGATCAACGTGGGGTACCCTCGGACCTAAGGAAAGAAAAAACACATCACTATCAGGGGTTTGTTTTATCACCAGTTTGAGTAACTTTTATTGGTAACACCTACAGAATACTTGTTGCATAGCGTGCGCTCCACAGTGCAGTCCACTTTGACAATCTTCACGTCGGTGAGGCCAGGAAAATCCTTCTTGGAGAGATCATCCCAAGTCGGAGCGAGATGCTTGCAGTGGCCACACCTACACAGCAGGAGAGCAGCGGGTGTCACTTTACTGACTGACAGATCACAGATCGCATCATTGTGAAGAAATAACATAAAGCCTGCAGTATGAAACTCCACTTATTTAATCAGCTTTTAATAAGATAACCTAATAAGAGTCAGTCTATTAGATTTTACATTAAAATAATTAAATTATTTACTTACATTTTGAAACAATGCAATGAACATGGCTTTAGCGACAGCAAGTGAGCTAATCAAAGACCTTTATTTAACTTTAATGTTCACTAAATTAGGTCATAAATACCAGACAGACTTTTCAAGCTCTTACTTGACGTTATTTTGAAGTGCTGTCACTCAATTCAGATGGGAAAAAAATCTAAAATAAAAAGAACATCTAGAAAAGCATGCAGACCTCTGCTAGGAACCTGTGGCTAAAACTCAGAGGGCCGGATTTATCAAGATCCAATTTTGCGTGCAGTAATTTGCGCTCGCAAACTGGAATTTTGCGCGAGGGGCTGAACCATGGTTTGCGGGTGATTTAACAAGAGCGATTGCGTAACTGGTGGCAGGTGCAAAACTGTTGGAGACGCCCTATTTAAATGATGGTTTTGCGCGTTTTGTGGTTTGCGGCATGGTAGAGTTTGGACAGCAGAAAGCGCAAAAGGAAATTCGACCCCATGGAAATGGAGGTGTTGGTGGATGAAGCCAACAAACATTTAAGTGAGCTACAGCAAAGAAGTGCGACTGTCACACAGAGGAACGCTATATGTGAACAAATCTGTAATAAAGTAAACGCTGTTGGTGAAACCTTGCGAACAGTGGATGAAGTAAAAAGAAGATACCAGGATATTAGAAGGCGAACCAAAGAAAACTGGCATATAACAAAACATCTGCGAACAAAATAGGAGGGGGCACAGTAGATGAGATGCCTCTGACCAGCATTGAGGAACAAGTACAGCTGACGCTCTGTGAGGAGCAAATCACTGGAATTGCAGCTCCAAAATGGCAATGCTGGATAAACGAAATGTTTTGATCGTTTCCTCGTTCATTCCAAAAATATTCACACGGAGTGAAAAAATGCGTTCTCTGCGTCTCCTTGCTTCATTTCCATGTCTCCTTCTTGCGACAATAACCGCTGCCATGTGTGCGCAATTACGCATACAGACTATTTGCACCTTCTTTTGAAACGTGTTAAATATAGAGTCAGATACCGTTAGCAAAATTGCTTTCAGGTTTGATAAATCACTTTGCGAGTGCTAAATTAATATATTTACATGTTATCCTCCCACAAGACGCACTTTTGCGTGTAAACGCCTCATATTGCATATTCATTGCAGAAAAAGTACTAAATGGATAAGAGGCGCTATTTAGCACGTTTTAAAGACCAAATCCTTTTAGTACGCTGTTGATAGATCAGTTTGTACATTTTTTAGCGTGCGCAGTGAAATAGCTCACGTTTTTATACACGCAAACCTTTGATAGATCCGGCCCAGAGATTATCTGGATCATTACCGAATTTTTATTAATTGTTCCTTGGCATGAAGTCTGGTAACAATTAACTTTAAAAACCTTTCATAAGTGTATAAGTTGAGCACAGCATGTGTCTGCAGCCTCTGGTGTTTGTTCTGCTCTCACCTTTTTCTTTCACTCTGCTTTCTCGTTAAATCAGCAGATCAAGACTTTGATTGAGGCATGGCTCAACTTTCCTGTGTTTTTGTATTCCTCGTCTTTATTATAAATTCAATTCAGTTCAGTTTATTTATATAGCACCAATTCGCAACCCATGTCATCTCAAGTTACTTTACAGTTCACCGGATCATACAGTCAAATTGATTCAAAGTTTTCTAACTAAGGAAAAATAGTTTATTGCATCGACTCATTGATTCAAAGGTAATTCTTCACATTAAGCATGCTTGTAGCGACAGTGGAGAGGAAAAACTCCCTTTTAACAGGAAGAAACCTCCAGCAGAACCAGGCTTACATCTGCCGAGGCCGACTGGGATTCAAGGAGACAGAAGCAGAGATACAAAAGCCAACTGTAAAAGGCGGCCCCTAGTTCAATTATTTTAAAGATTCACTTGTTCTATTTGCTTTTTCCCGTTTGTGGCAGTATTGCAGATCTTACCATGGAGCGTAGAATTTGACAAAGGTGAAGCCCGTTGCCACAGTCTCTTCAAAGTTGCTCTCAGTCAGCACCAACACATCGGACTGCAAAGACAACAGCAGTGATGGAATAGTTAATCCTTATAGATCTGAAGGAAACTGAAACCCATCACTTCATAATATCATCTATTGTGACAGTAGGAGTTAAACTTTTGCATATTTTATGGATGATACTGAATCAAACATTTCACAGAGATGTCAAAAGTAACAATGTTTATTACTCAGGTTGAAGTAGAAATTATGCTGTTTAAAAACACTTGCAGAAGCATCAATTTAAGCTTTGTACTAAAAAAAAAAAAAACTTTTTCTAAACTACTTAAATTATAAAAGAAAATGTATAGCAGGATAAAGTGTTAAATGCTTTACTGCACTTGTCTTTCAAAGTAACTGTTTTTTTTTTTTTACAATTCTGGATGAAAACCTCTTTATACTTAATTTTCTTAGTTTTATAACTAATGGTAACAGTGTAAATTTTTTCTTTGCATCATCTTGAAAAACGAATTTGGTATGAGGCGAACAACAAGTTGGTTGACAGCTCTGTCTGTTCAGTAAAGTTTAAGAAACTTTGAAAAGGTTGAAAGTTACTACATTTAGCAATGAGCAACTGGCAGCACTGGCTGGAGATAACCAACCTAAAAAAAAAAAAAATTGGAAATCAACTGTATAAGAAGGAGTTTAGTACATATAAAAAGAGTGTAGCTTTAAAAAGCTTCCACAGATTCTGTTTGAGGCCAACAGGGAAACGTTCCAGACTCCAGCATTGGTCAGGACTATAAGCCTTCCTTTCTCTTTCTTCTACCAGGTAGTAACATCACAGCAAGACAAAAAACCTTTACCGTCAGTGAACCTGATGAACAAACTTTATTGGTCTACTGTCAAGACGACAGGGCAACTAAAGAACAAATGACTTTCATTAGCGGCCTAATGTTGCCTTTTTAGCACAACATTCTTTGCCAAACAGACTTTATTTTAAAGGTTTGTTGAAATTCGGAACCAAAGCCATGGCTAAAACCTATTTCCCAAAATTTTCAAATTTCAGTCCATACAATATAATTCCAATATCGATATAAATTTAAGAAAAACTGCAAAGAAAGCCCAAAACAGACGTCTGTAAAAACTATTTTGTCAAGTTTATGTTATTCTTCCAACATAAGATTTTAGAAATGCCTCTATAAAGAAATCTATTTTTATTTGGAGCTCAGAGTCAAACAGATTACAAGTAAATTTAACCAGGCGATAATCTGTACCTCCTGTTTATCAGTTCATGGGTTCTTTCCTTTTACAGTTAAGTCATTGCCTCCTTATTGTCATTTAAAGAAGAAACAATCCTAAGCCTGAAAGTCAAAGATCAG